CCCCCGCCAGCCCGCCACGCACGCCACCTCACAACCACCCCGACACCAGCATCAGCACTCTTCAGCAAGAAAGAAGCGGTACAAAGATCCGTGCTCTATTCCTATTTCCACCGCATAAACGCCTCGACATTTTAAAGAAAAACAAAATTAGCATGATATAGCTTATACAAATATCCATTTATTAAAGAACGGGAGCTTTGGTGAAACATGCAATCAAACACATAATACATTGTTGTTCTGGAATGCAACTGACACAAAAGCCAAAGTTCAAGTGGTTCAAAAGAAGTTGAAGTATTTTTAACATAGATACATACTTTTCAATGAGATTTAACTGACTTAAAATCATTGGCAAAAAATCATGAGTTAAGCATGAAACTCGATAAAATTTACTAGAAAGCAGTCGCTTATTTTTTGCCTACTTCAGACATGCAGTAACTCTAGCTTTTACAAGAAAAATTTGTGCTGCCAGCAGCGAGTCCAGAATGAAAAATTCAAAGTACAACAAAGTTACGATGTCATCTCAGCAAAATGGCAGTAACTGATTACAGTTTAAAAAAACAAATCATAAGTACAGTCAAACTTATTTTTAAAAAAAAGAAAAGTGAGAGAACAGTCAAGCATGTTTTTCCCATCAGAACAGATTTATATGATCTCACTGTAGGTAGAAATTTTACAAAATCATAATAATGTTCTGTTTGTTTTTAAATAGGCTGTCTTAATTTGTACACAAAGTAAGGCCAACATTGTTTTTCTTAAAAATAAATAACAATTATATCACATGTAAAGCAATATGATTTAGGAGTCTTATCACAACATACACTGGATCTCAACTGACTAGCTACAACAATCAAATTTTTGAGTGCATGCAACATATCACATTAATAGAGCACAGATTTGCTCCATTCATAAGCGACATTTATAACACCCCAACTGATGAAGGCACGGGTACAATTCAAATGGAATCCTCTATATAATTTTAAAATGCTGCGGTTGCGTTCATTGTAAATATCTACGAATGCCTCTGTTATAGACTGAAATGGTACACCTAACCTACTTTGCATATGAAACTTTAATACATTACACGGATAAAAAACACAGCTTAAAAATGCTCCAATGACAGCTCCACTGAAAAAGTCCTTGGTAAGTTCTCCCCACCATTTATCAGAACTAGGCAACCTAAGCTTTGCTTCTCCCCGTAAGTAGAAAAACAAGGCATTGGATGGTCCATTCCTTAGAAGGATTGGAGTGAGACCACGATAATATTCTCTAAATCCGTACTCAGCTCCAAGGATTCTAAAGGCATGTCTCATATTTTGGAAATGCTGATGATAGCTTCTATCTTGAAGAAGGGTCTGCACCCGCTCAAAAGGAGTTAATAGGGCTTCAATGGATCCAGCAATAACAGCTGCTGAGGGATTAGCAATGTACGAAGGTATATTCGATTTCATCATTGGAATGCGACACTCCTCGTAAACACCAAACATCAATGAAAGGCTCACAGACTTTTGACATAAAGGAGGAAGGATCCCTCTGTATAAGAAGAAGACTCCTTCATGCGACAATTGTTGAATGGCTCTTGAAACTCCAACATCATGAATTATCTGTAAAAGCCAGATTTTTAGTTAAGATGGTTTAAGTTAATAATTCAACACTTATTTTAAAAAAACTCACTTGTCTAAAAATGATTTTATTGATAGGAAAGGTGATTGTGATGTTAACAAAAGCAGCACTGAGACCACACACAAATTCTCGCCAGTCTCCATGTGGTTGTGGGACACTGGTTACAAATTTAATCAACTCTGATACAAAAGGGGGATTTCCTCCCATAGTAGGTAAACTGATGAGATATTTTCTCTAAATTTCATTCCATTCATGTGACATAATCGCCAGGACAAGACAACCTAGAAAATCAAAGTTTGTGTAAGACAAGAACTTAAGAATAATGCCGTACAGAACTTATAACACTGACTTCAAGAATGTATCAAATGAAGAGAGAGGAGAGCTGTGATAAATTTTAGTCTTATTGAAAATCAACATCTACGGAGGGGAATCCAGGTGGCAAGGAATATGAATAAAATTCTACTTAACTAACTAACCTCTTTGACAAGCATTAATGTAGAAGTTAGAGGGCAACCAAGAAAAGACATGTCTCTAAATTTCCTGAAGATACAATGAGGACTTTTAAAATTTTAATCAGAGTAAATAGATCATATTTACCACATTCCTACGGCAAATACCCCCCACGAACCCCCAAATTTTTTCTCTCCTGGCTCTGCCAACAGGAGCCAGGACTAGCTCAAACAGAGTACGCTGGCTCAATGGATGGATATAAGTGACGGAAAAAATATTCGTAATACGTACGATTAAGTAATTGATCACCTGACAAATCAGTAAAGACATGAAACATGACACGGCAGTGTCAAAAGAAAAGAGAAGCAGAAGATAGACAACAATTTACTTCAGCTCCGTGGGGCTCATTCGTGGCCTCCTGGATACGCCTTCTTTTTTAGCTAGTTGAGCTAGTGCTAGTGCATCAAATCGGCAGTGAAAAAGTGTAGGCAAACAAATCAAGCACAAAACAATACCAAATGGAAATTTCCCTTTGCTTTTCGATTTCTAGTTGATGACAAGTCTTATTGCACGATGGCAGCTGTTCTGAAGAAAAGAGCTCTTGCAGAGTATTCTCAGGTTATTGAGGTTAGTGAATAGTTAGTGTAATTTTGTAAAGTAGGGTAAAGAGGTTAACGTGTACACATAAAGTCATGTTTTAGTCAACTGTACTCTGTCAAGTACCGGACAACAATTACTCTTTACAGGAGCAGCCACGTCCAATCAAACGACTTCGACTAGTCAGAAAACCATCTTCAAGTAACTCGACTATATTGTATGTTGGTCTGTTGGAGAGACAGAAAACAAGTAACGAAGCTCTTCAGGTCCTGCTGAGGATCTCAGATTCATTACAATTCCAGGTGAATAATAATAATTCACCTTAAACAAAAAAAGTTGCTTCTTTAGGACGTATATTTTGAATACATTCCCTAATTCTTGTTTTGGCAGGAGGATGATTTCCTCGACATAATTAAAAAGCTGGTGGAGCACTTCAAACGTGAAAAAGAGTCTGCCGTGAGAGTGAAAATATTATCACTTTTTGGTGACATTGGGTGTGAAACTGGAGCAGATATCCAGGTATCCATTTTAGTACTGCAAAATTGTTCGTTGTTTCTGGTTTAATAACTATTAATATATCGAGTGTCTATCACAACTTTACAGCATCTATTAGAAGAAACACAGCAGTTACTCAAAGAAGAAACGTCTCATAAAGTTATTGTTCAAGGAGTTACAACACTTCTGCGCTTGGGAAAGCTGCTACCTGATAATGTTCAGATTCACACAAAATTAGTTTTATCAGCTAAACAGGTATGTTCTTGTAAATATTCCAAAGTGTATTTTTGTATAATATTTTCCATCTTAAGGTATTCACTATCTGGTTTACTCTTTCCCAAGTATTTGAAAGACACATCACATGCAGTGAAATCAAGGTGCTTAGAATTGATTGGTCAACTATTACCTGTGGTTGATACAGCACAAAGCGCATTGGTGCAGAATATGCTAAGGCTTATTGGAGACTACACTTACAGCCAAGATGCTAGGGTACGGGCAGCAGCTTTTAAAACCATGGTGAGTAGCAATATTTTCTGTTTTTACAAACTACCCGAAAAGTTCTATTGTTGCCTTTTTTCCCCCCTAGATTAATCTTCATGATCGTGGACTTAAGCTAGATCCATCCATTTACACTGAAGTGTGCTCCTCACTTAAGGATGATTATGAGATAGTTCGTCTTGCTGCTCTAAGATTAATATGTGTTTTAGGTAACACCTATGCTGAAAAGTGAGTGACTTAGCTGGCTTTCACATAAGTGGATGACTAGTTTTTGAACTATTTGTTAATTTTGTGTTGTGTACTTTTTCCCCAGTATCATAGTGTTGCCTGATTCTGAAGGAGAGCAGCTTCGTCTTGTTGATGATGCATTCGCGAAAATTTGCTGTTCAGTCACTGATCTTTCTCTAAGAGTTCGGACAGTTGCTTGTCAACTTTTAGGAACAATGCATCAAGTGAGCCCCAAATTTTTAGAGCAGACTTTGGACAAGAAACTTATGTCAAATATGAGAGTAAGTTCCTATGTAATAAAACATGTATACCTATAGCTGTTTTTGTAGTACTACCAGAAATCATCATTTTAATTATTTCAGTTAAAACGTTCAGCTCATGAAAGAGCATTAGAATCCGTGAGGACCGGAGAATGGTCCAGTGGCAAAAAATGGGCTGATGATGCTCCCAGAGAAAAGATTGACAAGGACTCAATCAGTTTAGTTACAAGTGGCTCATGTGGTGCATTTGTTCATGGTTTAGAGGATGAATTTTTAGGTAATCTTTTTTATTAACTCAGTTTTACCCATTTTTATTCTTGTTAGATTTCAAAGGCATTCTTATACGTAATTACAAATTCCCTTTTCGTGTCTCTTCCTAATCTGCAGAAGTACGCAGTGCTGCTGTGGATGCATTATGTTTGTTATCATTGGATAACCATCGTTTTGCTGTTATGTCTTTGGACTTTCTGGTTGATATGTTCAATGATGAAATAGAAGATGTGCGCATTAAAGCCATAGACAGCTTAACCCGTATTAGCAAACACATTATTTTAAGAGATGATCAATTAGAGACAATATTGTCTGCTCTTGAGGTAAGTTTAGAATTGTTTTCAGAAAACTCTTGTTAAGAAATTTCCTTGTTTAAATTCTTTTCTAATTTTTATTTTCATTTTTTCCTGGCAGGACTTTTCCATGGATGTGAGAGAGGGATTACACAAAATGTTAGCGGCATGTAGATTATCAACCAGAAGTTGCCTTCAGATGTGTGTTGAGGCCTTGCTGGATAATCTTAAAAAGTACCCTCAGGTATTGTTGTGGTCTTGCGATTTGACTCTAATTGTATTTAATTATGTTTAATCAACTTAAATGAATCAATTATGTTTTTCTTAGGATCGACGTTCTCTTTGGCGGTGTTTTCAACGAATTGGAAGCGTCCATCCTGAACTTACTCTTCCTCTTGTTCCGGAGCTCTTAAATATTCATCCATTCTTTGACATGCCGGAGCATGATGTTGAAGATCCAGCATGTATCCTTCCCTGCTGCATCTCGCCCTTAAAAATATATTTTTCAAAAATCTTGAGAATTACTTTTATTTAATCTAATATTTTTCTTTAACATGTTTTATCAAGATATTTGTATATTAATTTTGGTCTTTAATGCTGCTCAGCAGAGCCCCACAATGCTTCAGCTCTTTGAAGAAAACACTTTAAAACACTATTCCTACCTCAGAGACACAATGCCACATCTAGTCCCTGTTTTGAAGGTATGTTTATTTTTCCATTGATCTATGTGTAAAGTAGATCTAAGATGATTATGAGTTTTTATTGTAAATCTGCTCACGGAACACTTGATGTGTATTTTTACAGCTAGGGATTAATGTGAGAGCTCAGGAACTTGCTAGTGTTGAAACAAGTACATCTGAATTTATTCAACAAATTTGTAGCCAACTTGCTGCTGCACCCAAAGCTACTCTAAGATCTGAACTTATGGAGGCAGCTCAGAAGGATCTTAGTAGGCTTGCTGCTATTGATTCTGCTGTAAGTAAGCCGCTATATGCAAAGGAATTCCTTTCATGTTCTATTTACTTCCTAATTTTAAATAATACCTGAAATTTGACAGGTGTCTGGAGCAGCTGAATTCACTGCACTGTTCATTGGATCACAACTTTTGATGGAGCAGGTGCTTTCAAATCGTCTTTGGTCAAACCCAGCATCTCTTGCTACTCAACAGGGGAACATCATTCGCACATCAATAACAACCTTGCTTCAAAATTGTCTGAAGTATGTAAAATGTAAAATTCTTTTTCTTAAAATGTTATTAATGCCATGCTACTATGTTCAAATTTCTTTTTGTGATCTTAACAGGTTACAACATATGTTCATGGGGTTACGTTCTACAGAACTAGCAGCTGTTAAACAATTCAAATTGAAAGCTCTTGCTCTGCAGTTAGTCTATATTGTTACTGGAAGTAATTCCTCTGCTTTGTCCCTATGTGACCACTTCCTTTTGCAAGTTGAAGAAACTCAAAAGTAAGCTACGTTTTATCTTAATGCAATGTTTGTTAAGTACATAGACTTTTGGTTATTAAAAGCAATTTTTTTTTGTTTACATCACCTAGATATCTTTCTGATGAAAGTGTGAATGTTGAACTGTTTACAAGTCAATTATTTAAGGAAATGGTTCAGCTAGAGGAAACTAAACCAGGACCTGTTGCTCGTAGTGTGCTAAAACTTCTTCAAACATCAAATTTAGCTCTACCACCTCACCCAAATATATCTGTAAGTATTATCTTCAAGAAAGAAAATAAATAATTTTATCTCATTGAAACATATGCTTGAAAGTATCCCTATATATTTTCAGGTTCGTATGCTTTCTGCTGACATCAATGAGCCGCAGGGTGATGCTGATAACGCATACAAATTTACTGCTGGGATGGTCATAGGTATTCCATTGGATGCTGACATACGCAACCTACGTGACACATCGATCCTGCGAGTAAAACTTAAATATCCAGATCAACAGACTGTACTTATCATTCCAAGAGCTTCAGATCTTCGGCGAATGGATGGAGATGATGCCCTAGATTCCTCAAGTAAGTATTTTGTTTTTTGCCCCTGTTTTTTTTATTTAAGAGAGTGAGAAAAATGGAGGGCATTACCAGTAACTCTTACTTTTTCCAGGTCAAGAGCAATGTCCCTGTTATCGCCTTTTGACAACAGTTCTAGTTTCACATCAAGTGTGGTCTGAAGCTATGCATGTTGACATTAGCCTTGCTTTAGATGTAACAGAAGCTGAAGGGGGCTTGGGTATATCCTCTACTGCAAGGAGAGCTGCTGCTCAGACTCAAGGAGATCCATGTGTGATTGATATTTGTAAACCAGTTAAAGTTTTTGTCTCCCCAAGACCAATTAAAAGAGGAATATAGCTTCCTAAACTAAATTATTTTCCAAATAATTATTTTTTAAAATTATAACAGAGCTGCATGATTTTGTTATCCAACACATTACTAATCTGATAGATATATCACATACAGTGGTATTCTTTTTGATGATTTGTCAACCACTGTTAAAAAAGTAAATTCTTCTAGTCTTTCATTGAATCACACAATGACCTACCGTATGTACTTTTCTTCCTTTTCAAATCACCAAGTGTCATTCAGGTGCCATTGACATGAAATGCAGGCAATGAGCATACCATGCAATAAAGATTTTAAAAATGTCCCACTTTTATTTTTTCTGTTTACCCTACCTATCTTCATTTTTGATGAACATGCCTTGAGAACTTTAAAAAATTAAGGCACCTCAACAGGCAACGGACTATACCTCATCTGCACTTCCTTCCTTCGTCTGCGAATAGTGGCTTTCTGTTGTGTTGTTATTGTTTTTGTTTATGTTACCCCTAGACATAGAAAGAACGAATTCCCCCGAATTTCCTTCATGGTCGTGGTCAAAATGGTTAGTTGTCTCCTAGTCTCGTTAATTTGTCTCGTTAGTGTTCTCTGACGTTCGGAGTGTTATCTCCTCCAAGTTCGGAGCTGAAAGAGGTCCAGGAAAGCCATATATCGGAACACTCATATCTATAACCTCCACTTTTCCAGGTGAAATTCTGATTGTTTGGTGTCATCTCTCAATTTGAATCAGTGTCAACCATGGATGAGGAGGAGTTGGAAAGGTAATTCATGAAAATTATTATTTACCCAATCACCTCTGTTTTATCTAACCTTAAGGACAAAAGACACTTGTATTGCGCTCCTAAATATTTATGTGTATACCTTGAAACTAAATTTAATATTAATGCCACCCTCTGTCAGTTAGAATGTTACAGATATCCTATAGTTTTAGTCCTTGTATGGCTGTTAGACTGTTAATGTTGTATGTTTTCAGGTTAGCTGCAGAAGAATTGCTTCGAGAAGCCAAACAGGGTGCTGCAAGAGCAGTTGTTCATGGAGCTTTGGGATGGAAAGATAGCAATGCTCCTCGACCCAACAAACGGTTTCTCACCACCACATTAGCTCATACAATGCAGTATAACCATAGAAGGTCTAGATCTCGTTCTTCATCCCCACGTCATAAACCTAAACGTAGATCTAAGGAGAGAAATTCTAGTCACGAAACTTCTCACAAAGAGAAAAGGCAGCATAGATCCAAAGGTGACCATAGATCAGATCGTGAACATATACGAGATAAAAGTAGTAAAAGGGACAGGAGTGATTCTAGAAAGTATTCAAGGAAACATGATAAAGAAGAGAGAAGGGAGGAAAAGAAACGCCATAAAGATAAGAGAAGTCGTAGCAATTATTAGTTTCTGAAGTTGTTGTTTGTTATAACCCTTTGGTTTAAAAAAAAATTGAGACTGCACCTATTTTTTTGTAATTCAGAGTAAATTTGAGAATTTATATTTAGATGTCTCCATGTGGATGTTAAAGCATCTTTAGTTTTGACTCATGCACTGTTATTCTCTTTAGTGAATTTCCTCAGCATAGCAATGAAAATATAATTCAGATTTATATCTGAAAGTGTAAGTTTGTGTTACCCACCTCTTATTTGTGAATATATTTTGGCACTTGAGTGTCCTTTCTTAAGGAAATTCAGCATTGTGAGGCCGGTATCCTGGTAAATTGTCTGTATTTTGTAACATTTGAACTTTAATAAATGTTTTAAGCACCAGACTTCTCTGTTTGTTATGTTCGAGGTATCTCGAGAGCAATAAAAAGAATAAAGATCTTGTTGGATCGTAAATTACTTTTAATTTCATTTTATAAGTGTTACAGAATCAGTGTTCAATTTTGTTAGACATAGTTCTATAAAATTGATGTATCAGCAGATGGAAAAGGATAGAGTAACAAGATCAGCTGAATTTGACAGTTCACACAGAAGTGAGGCCAAACTTATTGAGTAGAAGAACAGACAAAACGCAACGGCCTTGAAGTACATTTCAATCATTTTTGTTGATAACTGTTGTTGATCAACTTGAGTTCTGGCCAAATTAACTGAAAATCATGTCAATTTGTTATCTTTAAATAGTATACACACACATCGTAATAAAACGGGGCCTTAGAATGAAAATTATTCAGTGCATAATAAAGAACATGATTGCTGTGAATATAAGACAAACTAGGTATACTTGTTCTCTTATGTTTTGATATTTAATTTACAACAATCAGATCAATGACAAAGAAAAGAGATTGATGACATTTATGTGACAGCTGAAGATTTAGATTGTTAAGCTTTACAATGACCAAGCTAAAACACAGCCAATGGAAATTGTTACCAATCATTCAATTCAGATGGAAAACAATTCTTAAAAAGAACTTAAGGGAACCTCGTTATATGGTGAATTACCAACAGGGTACGATCACTCCGGGGCCCCTCCTACACGCGCACAGGTGGCGCAAACAGTAAACCACCAAATTTAGATTCAATTCAAATAGTTAAACACTCCCGCCTCGAAGCCGTCCTACAAATGGTGGCCTCCGATATGCATTAACACATTAAGGCCTAAGGGCCAGGCGCCGCCCTAGCCGGCCTTCCCTCGGCCGAGCCTTGGCGGCCACCTCGAGGGCAGGTAGAAATCAGTTCGGCTAGGACGCTCGCCGGAGACGGTCCTCTCCTCTCGACGGGGCTCCAGTGGTGTGAAGTTCTACTGTTCAACCAACCAACCTTGCTACCATCATGCGTGAGTAATAAACATATTTATCAAACTCGTGCTCCTTCTCATTCACCCGGTATCAATGCCTCGCAACAACAAGACAAAAGAAATGTGATGTCACATATACAAAAGCCAAGATTCCAAATAATTTCCAAACATACAATGCCAGAGAGTTAAAAAACTTGAAAGCATGTAGATAGTTCACATGTGCATTTAAGCAGCAACATAACAAAAGCATTAGAGTTCAGGTACTATTTATATTAGCCAACAAAGATCAACTCGAGTTCTGGCCAAAATAACTGAGAATGATATCAATTTATCATCATTAAATCGTACACACACACACACATAGTAATAAGACGGGGCACTGTCTTTGAATGAAAATTATTCAGTTCATAGGACGCTTTGCACACAAACAAACTTTACGGAATACAATTTTAGTTACAATAATCTCATCAGATTTAACAGTTAGTGCAAGCGCATCTAGCAGAACGGGAGGTTTGTCACTTTGAATGGACAGGTAGTTAATTCAAATTTAATTTTAAGAAGAAAACTGCACACCCAAACATAAATGAATGGCCAGCTGGCTTTTACACAAATTATTTAAAAAACGTTTCAAAAGCTTCTTGACCAGCAAATGATTTTACAAATGGAGTATGATAAAGTAGCACAGTAAGAAAATATTGATTAATTAGTTTAAAATTTATCTTCAGGTGTAAGTATGTAGCAGGAAAATGAAGAATCGGCAGAAACGACTATGAATAAAAATAAGATGGACGGAGCTCGAGTTCACATGATCCATAACGAAGAGACTGCAGGAAGAATCCTGAAACATAAATAAAACAAATATGTCAGTTGAGGGTGCTGCACAAAATGCAAGAAACATGAACAAGAATAAAATTGGGGTAGACAATATCAAAGCAACTCACCTCAGCTAGTCCTTCTTGAAGAAAACCGTATTGTGATCAGTGACAATTCATTCTCTGCAGCCAGCACTATGGCACGAGGAGCTGTGGTTGAATTTAATTGGTAACTGCAACATACAAGACAGAGTCCATTGAGTACAACGACTCACACCACAAAAGAAAATACACGATGAGGGCAGCAGCCATACATACCTGTATTTAGGAGATGGCGGGCGTAATCCAGCGTCGTCCACTTGAAGATCTGCGATGCCGTCCGCGAAGTCCCACGAAGCCGCCCGCGAAGTCCCGCGATGCCGTCCACGAAGTCCCGCGATGCCGTCGATGAAGTCCCGCGAAGTCCCACGATGATGATGATGATGTCAGCCTGTATTCCGTGATGCCCTCCGTGACGAAGTCCCAAACCCGGATACGCGACGCCAAGGACACCCACGAAGAGGCCGCCCTCGGAGAGACGCCCCGATGACTGGCAAGAGCCGCGAGCAGCGCCGGAGAGGCTTCGTCTCGCCGAGGATCCCAGTTGACGACGACGCTGGTGCCGACGTCCGTGTCAGCCCTTCCACGCAAGTATCAAACCGCATCTAGCCCGCGAGAAGTCGGTACGCACGACGGGAGCCTTGCCGACGGGGGGGTCTCCCTGGCACCCGGACGGTCCTGAAGGACACCCTGGAGCAAGTCCCGGAGGGCGCGAGGCCCTCCAGAAACAAGTCGAGGGAGAGGGATGGAAGCCTCTTTCAATGACAGCGGCACGGAGCAGCGCCAACGAAAGTATTTTCGGTCCGGGAGGCGGCCGCCCAGAGGACGGAGTCAGGAGGAGTTCAGTCAGGCGAACGGTGTCCACCGCGACGAAACGGCCCCTGATGACGCACCAAGCCAAGGAGATTCCCACGGAAGCCTATTCTGGGGTTGGGGATGTACGGGGAAATGACGAAGAGGCTCGGTGGTGGCCCCGACGAATGCCATCTAAGAAGTTTCGCCTTCATCGCATCCCCTGATACGCTACTGAGGTTCGAGAATATAGCAAATCGAGCTGAGGTGAATCCAGCGAAGTCCCACGAAGTCCCACGACGACGAATCCAGCGAAGTCCCACGATGGTGAATACGGGGAAGTCCCACGAAGTCCCGCGAAGTCGAATCCCACGAAGTCCCACGATGGTGAATCCGGGGAAGTCCCACGAAGTCCCGCGACGTCGAATCCCACGAAGTCCCGCGAAGAAGAGTCCCACGAAGTCCCGTGAAGAAGAATCCCACGAAGTCCCGCGAAGAAGAGTCCCACGACGTCCCACGAAGAAGGGTCCCGCGAAGAGAAATCCCACGAAGTCCCGCGAAGAGGAATCCCACGAAGTCCCGCGAAGAGGATCCCACGAAGTCCCGCGAAGAGGAGTCCCACGAAGTCCCGCGAAGAGGAATCCCACGAAGTCCCGCGAAGAGGAATCCCACGAAGCCACGCGAAGCGAAGTCCCACGATGTCCCGCGAGGAGGTTTCAAATTTTCCCAAGTAGGTAGGAGACCCACAATTTAGTCTACGGAGTAACCCGAAATCAACCAAATTGCCGGGAAAGAGCAAGACTAGTAGACCCAATTCGAGGAGACATAAAAAAAAAAAAAACCTCCAGGATTTAAATTTAAGAATTTCTTCCTCAGTCTCGAAGGATGTTAACTAAGGATGTAAGAATTAGTAAAATCCCATAAAACTGATGTCTTAAAACTAGGATGCTGACAAAGATATATCTATACGGATATAAATCAGTCCACGACGGTAGACAGAACACCTGAGAACTAGTCCAGCAAAGGAGAAAATTTCTAAACCTTGAAAGTAAACTGTATAAAAGTTGCCACAAAATTTCTATCATGATACTTGCTAACATTTGTACCTTCCAATGAAAGTAATGAAGTAAAAAATCAGCATGATAGAAAAATCTGACATTATTAAACACACTTTGATTGCATAATAGAAATGCAAAAATCAACCTCCAGCAGTTTCAAGCTACAGCAATGTGCAATACATTGGCGCATCTTTTCATCCACTATGATTTGGCGCATCTTTCTATTTCGATAGGTTAAGAAGTTGACGCATCTTTTATTTCACCCATGACTTTTTTTAAATGGCGCATCTTTTCTCATTTTTTTTTTTTTTTTTTTTTTTTTTGCGTAACTTTGAGCAGAAATGGTGGCGCATCTTTTTCCATCCTCTTAGTTTAAATGATTGGCGCATCTTTACTATTAGATATTTTTCTTTCCTGAAAAAAACTTATTAAAATGGCGCATCTTTATCTTCAAAGGATGGAGATGGGCGCATCTTTCCTCTTTAAACAAATTTTCAGTACATCAGCAGTTAATAATTCTTCATCAACTGAAATGTTGAAGTCCTGAGAATTGTTGATATGGGTCAGTAAACAATCAATGATCCATAGAATTCAACAATCATTAAAACTTATAAATTGTACTCACAATATTATCAAGATGGGTACAACCAGAGTTAAAGGACTCATTTCAGAGGTACTATACATTCACAACAGCACCTCTTAAAATTATAATAATTGCAGTTCAAAATCTTGTTTTGAACATAGTAAATAAAAATGGTGCTCAATTGAGTGGACATCTCTGATGAAAGCACATATATATATACGGGCCACAAAGGCTGAGAAACGTATATAAAAAGCATTGTGGTTGAAAATACAGCCAGGTCTTCATGAGCCACTAATGAAAGGGCCTGAGCTTTCATGACAAGCTATCCTTAAAGTGTAAGTATCTGCATTAATGCAAGTTTTATCTCCAGAAGACAGGAGGATAAGACCTTACATATGCAAGACATTTTGCTAGAGCAAATCTGCTCTGTTTGCCAAAATCGAGAAAGATGTAGAAGCAGCAACTTACGCTCTGAAAATTAAACAAGGGAATCTTAATGCCTGTTCAGGAATTGGATAAACAAGCCTTACTAATCACATCAAAATCACACCCACCAAGTGCCTTGGGACGGCTGAGGCCAGCACACTTCTACCCTCTTTCTTTGACATTCTTTCCGATCCAGGACAGGTTTAACACGTTCCGTTCAAGAGAGCAACAGGAGACAAACTCACTGATTGGAACTTGCGCTCACATGCAATTCGGCGGCCTCCGTCTCCACTTGTATACTGGGGCTGGGCCGGCCTGGGGCACAAATGGCCTCACAGCAGTGGTGATCAACCCTTGACCACCACCCCGACAGCCAGGGCAGGGCACACTCCGATGGGACAAACCACCAGAAGTAGCAGAGGTCAAGGACCGTACACAGACACCAGAAGGAGATTACTTGCAAAGATATGGTTTTAATGTTGCAGAGCAATACCAAAACTATATCAAAACAATGTCATTCTCCTAGTGGACAGGTTTGAGCCACTTACAAAACATGACTACACCCTGCACCCGACTGCGGGCACGCTGAGGGCCGTGCAAAACGCTCATCTCGTCACGTCTCGTCGCCATCCGCGCAGTGGCGTCACGTCTTGATGCATGGGCCTGAAAGCATACACCTGCCTGGACGGTGCCAGCGTGTCCTACGCTCCACATGGTGTCTGGAGAACCGATGGAAAGTAATGAGAGAGAGCCAACAACACCTGAACACATGGCGAAACTCATGAAATGAAAGGACTCACCAGCAGCAGTACCGGGGTTGGCAACCTATCCGACCTCCATAGCTCAGCCATGTCTGAAAGTTCAGATTCACAAAGGCCGCAAAACAGTGGCTCCAATGCCTACTTTTACCACAAATCCCAGCTGGATGACGTCAGAATTCATCTTTCCATAATAAGATAAGAGGTAGTAGGCATTGCAGTAACAAGTAGCAGGATCAGAGTTCTGATCTCAAACATTTCATCAATCCAATGAAAGGCTGGTGAACAGATGTGCTTCCTGAAGTGTTTCCTTCTATTGGAAATTGCTTCCAATACAACACAACTTTTCTATATCAGCTTTGCCTCAATACTTTGTTCCATTTCCTGGTTGTCATTAACCCTGACACACGTGGCATGCTAGCACACTTCGATACATTACATCCAATTATCCAAAGCCGTTGGTTTTTGTTCAAGTTCATTCAATTCATTTCTCTTTCCTTTAAGTTTTCCATTGTTTGGGCATACATTGCCAAATGTCATCAATTTCATCAGAATCTCAAAATAATGGATGGCAATTAAATATAGTTTTTCTGATGAGGACACAATTAAATTCTTCCAGAATTTTTCAAAGATCTCACAAGCTTTCATTGATTTTCACCTGCTAATATCACAAAGAATCAGCAGAATTGAACACTAGTTGGCCTTCAACCCTAATAGAATTGACCATAATTTCAAGTATGTTTTGAGACTTGAGCAATACTTCACATAATTGCAGGGTCACACATCCACTCATCGCTTCCATAAGTCATTACTATTGTGACAAAAAACTTAAATTTTCTGATCACTATCATACTTGCTAAGACGACATTTTCAATTACAGCTCACGATGCAGACTGCAGCTACTTTTTGTCCTTGTCTTTTCATCAACCTAGCAGCTCCCTGACAACTTTGACAGCTATTCATGGTCTAGATCTGGCAATGTCCTGGAACTGCGAACTTGACACAATTCAACCCCACACAAGTGGGGCAACACCAAGAAGAAAGAGAAACTGGCATCACCTCTGCTGCTTACTCAATTTTCACCATCTGAATGAGGAGACCATATTGTGGACCCAAGGTGCTCTAGAGTTTTCACTGCTCAACAGGCCTTGACACAGCTCATTCCATTCCTGGAACTTGACAAAAAGAAAGCTCCCAGGCACACAAAGTGTGCACCCAAACAACAAAACAACACAAAAAAGAATTACACACATCACCTTGAAAAATGTTGTCTGAACAGGGTAATCCCTTACGGCCAACTCCCTCACGATCCATTCCATAACTTTTGACTGCGCAATTATATAGACACAATTTTGTTAAACACCCTTGGCCCCAAACCAAAATGGGGACTAATATAACTCACTGAGCATCAACGAATAACTCACAACTCTCACTGTACAGGAGCCAGCAGGAAGCTTGTCAGGCCACCACTGAGAAAATCTAGGGCAGACATTCAAGAGACAAGACCCAAACAAGGCCACAAATAATTATGATTTGAACCCACAAGGGCAGGGCTCAAATTTACAAGTTTTAGTTTCATGTAACTAAAATAAGTTAGTATTTAAAAAACAAGATTTAAATGTCACCTGTCTATAGATAACTGATAACCCCGAAGATGATGGGAGATTCTGAACAAGGCCAGATTCAATAGATCACCAGCGCACTCACAATATGCCTGCAGATGATTAAACACACACGCTCCCATTGATTAAGAACAAAACCCCACCAAAGTGGGAAGAGAAAATACCATCTCAAAGGCTTCATTGATGATAAATGAATAAAATGCAATAATATTGTCAAACCTGATGCAACTTACTGGGTCTGAACCTCTACTTCAAATAAACAATATCATCTCTATGAACAAGGAGAGTAAGATTTACTCTTTAAAATAGAACTTCCACTCATTTCTATGAACAAAATTAGTTCCAATTCTAATATTTAACTGCATTAGTTGTTGTTCTTCATTTCCCATAACTGATTTCTCGCATAAACTCTGTTCTCAGAAACCAAAGAGCAAAACATGCTTGTAAGCTATGGCGCATGGAAAATTATGTTGCAAAATAAGTGGATTAACTCATTTCACTTCTCTGTGTAAAACAAGGTGGTTGTGCAAGAGTACTCTTATCTTTAGATGACACGACAATTGACAGGACTACATCTTGTAGAACATGTGATAAACATTAATATCTAGGACCCTCATAATCCTGAATCACGAGAGAAATAGCATATCAGTTCAAAACTTATCACCATCTCAATCTATAGATAGATAATGGAACGATATTAGTCTGGATATATAATACTCAGGAAAATGAGCTGAATGTTGACAGGGTAACGGAATCTGAAGAAGACAGGGACCATTGGAGACGACCACAGATCAGTGAAGTTCACAGCGTCACAGCACAGTCCAAGGAGAAAATAGTAGGCTTGCAGCCGTGGGTAGGGCACGAAGAATGCCTGTCGCCTGTGCAGACATGTAGGGAACAGCACACCAACGCCATTGGAAAGTAATTTAAAAAAAAAAACGAAACCTCATCTTGCCAAAACTTCTCAGATGACATTATCAGCAGAATTGGTGAGCGCAGGCATGGATCCAGTGCTGCTAATTCCTTTCTCTCCAGGGTGATGCATGTTTTTCCATTTTCTTCAAGCCAAGAAGATGGAGTTTCCACATAAATCACTAAGTACTGGAAGCAGATTGAAGGGTTACGTCTACCCCACCCCTCCCTTAAAATCCAGTGTGATTACAAACCACCACAAAATGGAGGGTTTGGTGGGCATCACATGCTCCCAAGAAATCCAGAAATTATGATACAGCGGCCGCTGCCGTGACACGCCAAAGCTGGATTCGTCCGAGATATAACCAGAGGGCTTCGCAACTCCTAGGCATCCTCAGGGATCAAGAGCCAAACTTCTATGGCTTGGAATGACGGAACTTGGCGACAGATGAGGATGAATTAGATGGCATGTCGGTCCTAGAGCCATGTCTAAAACACCAAAAGGGGAAATATTATCACCAAGGAGCAAGAATATCTGCATCAGGTGATAGTTGATGGAGCCCTGATGACCAAGGAACCCTTGACAACTTGCAAATCTCTAATAATTTGCAAAGTTGCGTTGAAGACGGTTGGATGTAGGCATCGCGTGTTGCTGACTTGTAATTTTAAGATATTGATCTTGGGTCTGGACCAATTGTACGGCATCAGCAAGCGCACTCTGTTGAGTTGACACTTCTCTACTTGTTCTCATTCACTCAGGAGTACACTAGGACATTTCCTACGTTTTTCGGCTAGGTAGCATGTTGAACATCCATATTGTGTACCTCATCCACGCTACGCAATTCCTGAAAAGCATTATTGGAAGAAAAAATTTAGATATATGAGCTGAGATTGTACGATTTCTCTGGTTTCATGCCAAAATAACTACAGCCAATAGGGAGATGTGCCCACCTGAAATGCTTAAGGATGCGTCCATCCTTTTACTGGATGCTGGCCCCAGAAGTGTGATGATACACTTCATTGTTTTGGTTTGTATAAATATAGGCCAATTTTTCTACATGGCTTTCACGGATTATGCATGTTGCAACCCAACCATTGGAACCTTCACCAGTTGGAACAGGCACATAGAATCCCTACTTTGCATCAAACGCTTTGACTTACGATAACTGGGACTTGAGGTTGAGGATTCTTGGGTATCGAGAGTAATGTAGCAGGGAATTCCCGGTGCAGCCCAAAGGCTTTCTGCGGACTCCGACAGACGGCCCATCCACAGATAAAGCCAAGGACTGCAACAGCTGGACGAGCCCAGCAAGGAGTAGTTGCTCGCTTGAGATGGAACCGATCACACGAGCGGCCCATGCAGGAATACGGAGTGGAGCCCGACTAGCCAAGTCCACTATGGACAGCCTCAGGCTGGATTGAAGCTTAGACCACGAACTTGAGACTGCTCCTAGATGACAATGAGCCCACCTATGGACTGCTGCCTCTGCAAGAAGTACTGGAGCTCAAGTTTGATGCTGTATGCCCACTACAGGCTAAATGCAAACAGCATTGAGCATCCAATTAATTTCCTGCGACAATGTTGCCTCCAGGATGGAAACACATCAGATTCATTCATCCATGAACCCAATGTTCAACGGAATTTTGAAGTCCCAATGGTACTTCCAGGCGACACACGCCCGAAAGCATGACTGGGACACATCCACAAGGCGATGAAATTCGTCTACAGCAGCAGTGAGGGCTCAGGGTCACGTGAGAAGTCTCTTTTGCATCGCTAGGCATCGCAGCAGGACCGGGTAATGCTGGGATGGCGAACTCGATGGCCGAGTGGGGTTGGGGATCCAAGCTCTCATACTTGGGTCCCAGTCACTCTCGCAAAGCCAATCACGGATTTTCATGGACTTGGAGACGGCTGAGGTAGCATCTGCCAGCACAAGGGTAACAGTGGTGTAGAATTCATGTTTCATGAAGAGTCCCCATCTCAGGCAAATTCCCAGGGCAGGATGTTGCCTGAAGATGAAGTCAAAGGCTTTACTCATGGCAAATATTGTAAAACAGAGGATGATACTGCATGTTTGGCCTGTGGTTTTCAGCAGAGTTGCCATGCTGGGACCAGAAAGCGTAGACCATCCTCTGGTGTAATCTCAGATGCCCAAGGAAAGAGGTGAACGATTGGTGGGAAATGTAGTCCCATCCAGTGTGTGTGACATTTTCAGGGTTGCTATTCCGGGTATATTAATAAAAAAGAGAGCTCTGAAAGTCACAAGAGAAATTACTAAATAACCATGTGATGTCCAAACCTTTTTCTATCAGGGAGATCATTCTTCAAACTTACTTGTAATTGAATGGAATCCAGTATTCATGTTGTATTTATCTAAGGTACAAATCACTGCGGTTCTCAACACTCTTACAATCCATTGGACGACATGATGAAATGTGCGACTATCAATGACTCATTTAGACCACGAAGAAATTCATGATGGTACTGCCTCTGCCAGTTCAAGACGATTGTGTGTTCACCTTCACAACAGCCCCAGTCCAAGTAAGCGGAAGGTTGAGGCTTGAACACAATAAACGTCCAAATCAGCAACAAAGTTTAAAAATAAAAAAACTAGAAATAAAATTGAATATCAAAATAATTGAATTTTGTACAGAGAGGCAAATCATTCACTGCATTTCCCTGAGGACATGATGGCATTAGGAATTGTGTTGAATCAGGGCACAGCCTGTGAGTACAAACACTTAACATACCCATACCCATTCAAATAAGATAACACAACAAACAATTGGTAACTTCTTTTTTTTTTTATTCTGACAGAATAAAACTCAAATTACATCAAGGCTCAATAATAACAACCACCCAATCTACCTAACGCACCACCCAAATCTCAGACCATTCACTACAGTTCAATTCTAAACAGATATGTTTACGCCTCACCATATCATGGTACTCACTTCAGCTATTGTCGGCGACCAACTGACCAAACGCTGCCATCAGACCGAAAGTCACGATCTCCAAGATGTCCAGAGTAGAAAAGGAGGCTGACATGTGTACTTGCAAGGGATGAATGCTAACAAATCACCATGAGGTTCATCCTCAATCTCCCCCAACCATGGGGGTCACCTCAACAAGTCTGGGGCAATCCAAGTGCAGCTGACTAAGTTTCACCAACATTCATGATACACCCACCTCACACAACAACACATGACAGCGCTCCAATTCGAATCTCGGGTCATCCATTAGGGCCAACGTGGTCATCTGGCCAGACAGTGCGTAGGTCTGGACCGACTGTAGCAGGTTGGGGGCTCTGGTGCCTCATCGCTCCTTCTTAATGGAGACTGTAATGGAAAAACAATCACGAATAACAACATATCCAAATTACAACCTCACATTCATCACTCCTAGAATTGAGCCAAGAAATAAAACGATAGCACTTAAAGACATTCACTTGAGATCTCAACTATAAAGACTATAATTATATAATAAGTACGAGCTAATAGAAATTTCAGTCTTAAACAAAAAATAAAACAAACTGACCAGAAAAGAGCAATTATGTAAGCTCGGAATTCAAATAAACATAAGGAATCACAGCACAGAAAGGCTGACGTCGCAGCAGTAAAATAACAATATGGCCGATCAAACAAGATGGCCGACTATCTCTGAAGCGGAGTCTTCACTCCACCAAGTTGCAACATAAATGAGTCCAGAGACTCCAGCCCCAATTCCTTCTCTCTCCAAACGTCGACATTACATTTAGAATTATCGTGAAAACCTAATTCGGATTTCATTTCTAGCCACTTGCGAAGTCGCTGTTGCTGCTTTGCTTTTAATTCCTCCTGAGCACGCGTCAGAACATTGGAAATAATAGCTTCGACCCTAAGGTCGCGCCTGGGCCGTTTTCTCAGGTACAATTTCTTGCTCCGGAACTTAGAAATTATTTTCACTAACTCCTCCGTGTGTCCTTGAAGGCCATGGCCTCGGCGATCGAAACTTGCCACCATAGTTGGGCTAAGCTCACAATAGCGTCCTCAAACTAGGATCGGCGGATCTAGGCTTGGTAAGTAAACACAGCGAAAAGCCTAGAAACCGTACCTAGCTCCAAGAAGAGAAGGGATGCACTGAAGTTTGATCCAGATGCGACTTCACGGAGAAAGTTGGGCCCTCCCAGCGGAGAGCGTCACGGAGGTGCTTGCGCTGCTTCGCGGTGTGACTCCAAATGTTGAAAATGTAGTGCGAAATCCTTTATATACCCCAAGCAGCCGCTGCAGAGTGTGTTACTCCGCTCCGCCAGTGAAAAAGTAGTACTCAAAGTTAAGCGCTTCTTCTCGACGCTGGAATGTTAGATTTTGATCCAAGAGCTCTAACTGACTTTGGGTAGTTTTTATTAATACGTGACTCCAAATCTGAAGGTGGCTTTTACGCCGTTGGAATTTGTCGTTTTCCGTTTGCGGCGGAGGCATACTGCGTTCTCCGGCAGTTCTGCGTCCTTCCCAAGCTGTGACGCATCGTCGCGCTACGCCACGCCACTCCTCGCTTTTGCCTTTATCCCCGTCCCGCATCCTCCCGTCACCCCCTCACCTTCCATTTCGAGAAGTTTTCCATTGTTCCTGAAATATATATTTGAATGGAATGTAGTGCGGGATCGCTCTTTCATTTTTGGGACCTCAAATTGTCGTTGAAGTTGCTTAAATGACGGGCATATGCACGGTTGTTTTAAATAATTGAGATTGTGTGTTCTGGCCCGCTTTAAAAGTTTATAGTGGTTCGCTAGAGCCGAAGTTTATCCGTGTACATCATGAAATTAGGTTGAGCTAGCGCATACACGGTGGACCGTGCGGAATTCCTCTTTCACTGCACGAGTATCCGTAACTGCGCAGCCAGCCCACCTTATCGTCGCTAATCAACGATGTGGTGCAAACCAACACGGAATGGCTCGTGGGCGACGGGCACGAATGTGCGCAGTTCTAGTTTGTTGGTGGTGTAGCGGTGTCAACAGCTGGCCTAGAAAGGGTCGGCCGACAGAGGGGGAAAGGGGCGCGGTAGAGCAAGTTGCCTACATACTGGGGTTTTGTAGCACAAACTGCCTACCTTTCAGGCGGCTATGGCCCTTGCCCGAGCGGTAGTACGTGCCGAACATCACGAATTATGCTCCTGACTTGCTCTTTGCCCCCCCCCCCCCCCCGCACACACACACACACACGGCAGTGTGTCAATGATATGCTAACCCCTTTTGCCATTACAACCCATGGGTTATTAGTACCTTTTGCGGGTGCATTTCCTGGTAAACATGAAAAAATTTTGCATTGAGGCCGACTGCAGGCAGCCAGTGTTTTTAATAAGCCATATAGTCCATATACTGACTATGGGCGCGAGCCGAACCCTTTATTTTTAAATAGAGTTAGGAAGCCCCCCTCTCCCCCTTCCCTCGCCCTCACTTTCTAACGTTGGTCTCCTTTCTCATCCCCGCCGTGCTTCTCGACGTGCAGTTCCCGCAGCCTCTCCGAGCGCAATAACCCGCGGTGGTTGTGCAATTAACTTCCTAGGGGACCCGCTAAAGGTGGGCTGACTCACGCGCCGCGCTCTTTCGCAGTCATACTGTACCGCATGCACGCGGTTTGCCTACTTGCACGGAGCGATAGGGAGCCGTGTGCTGTGCAGCGATGGGAGAGGATAGGCAAACCCGCCCGCACCCGTGCATGGCGGTGCAGTATCACTGCGAAAGTGCGCGGCGTGAGTCAGTCACCTGGTATGCGTGGGCGTCGGTGGGCGTGCAGAGATGCGTCTAAACCCCTGGCTTTGTTCTAATTCTAAAAATATGAAATTGAAACATTCAGGCCAATAGGACAACACAAGCTATAACGAACTGTCCTTTTCATTTCATATGAGCGGGGGCCGGGGATCGGGGAGACTTGCGTGGGATAGGGGGAAAAGGGGGGGGGGGTGCTGCTGCTATTTTTAACGAAGAATGCATGCTTCGATCAGCAGACACACAGGATGTGGCGTGTATTTAAGGACAGCCCCCAATTCGTGGGACGGTCCCCTCCTTTCCCCCTCTGACGTCCACCTTTATCTCCCAAGGAAAGGCGTCGCACTACTGTACCCACCCCGCACCTCGTCATCGTCGTCATGCGCGACGCGACCGTTGAGTGCAGGTTCTATGCGTTATTATTATTTTTCCCAAGACGAGGGGAGGCCGCGGAGCGGCAAAGGGAGAGGTGGTGGAAGGGGGAGAGGTGGTGGAAGGGGGAGAGGGATGGGGAACGGTTCAGAAAACCAGCCGGACTGCGCGATCTTACTTTCTATCGTCGAAGGAGAGGTGACCCCGCGCAACCCTTTCGTCTCGATGGTGGATTTAGCTTCGGGACGCAGCGGGCCAGGAGGTCAGGAGTTTTACAACACGACCCCAAGAAACCCTCCCCCAGGTGCGCCACGCTGAGGTGCACACGGTTGCAACGCCGCCGGAGGCTCCCAGCTCCCAGCTCCAGCTGCATGGAGAAGGACTAGGTAATGGAGGGGCACCTCGCGCTCGGGTGGGCCGCACCCGGTTACCGAGACTCCGTCGCCCTCTAGCAGCGCCGCGCAGCACGTTCCGGACTTTTGTTCTTCTTGCTTTCCGATTGCCAACTGCGCGTTGTACTTATCGCCGTATTTCTAGGCAAATGTGGTTGAAGACTGACAGTAAATTTGTTACCTTTACACAATAATACATTATTAAGAATATTACGCCACTTCTATGAATGTTTATGATAATATATTTGCATGCATAACTATTGTATGTTGGTAGTGGTGCATTTGTTTACATGACTCGAGCAGAAGCAACTCACATGCGCCAAAAGTGTGCCTGAAGTGTTGGTTGTTCAGCATTTATTCTTTTTCGTGTCATAAAATGCATACAGTAAAGTCAGAACTTGTTTGCCCAATTTGTGACAAGCAGTATGTTGTCAGTTCCTACTTCCAGAAGCATGTCAAGTCTCATGAGACACAAAAAATTAAGAAGGGAAACGCTAAGCGGCCGATTCTCAATGCAGAACGTGAGTATTTTAGCCCGACCCCATACGTGATCTGGATTCTTTCTAGCGTAGAATAGCTAATGTTATTGTCAACCCGCTTTCATCTTTTTCAGCCGAGGACGGTAGTCAAGTTGAAGAGCTTGAGCCCCTTGAGCCCCTCGAGTCCCAGGTTGATGATGCTGCCCATGTTGACAATGGATTTGATCATTGTTTTGATGATGGGGATGAACCATTCCTTTTGGATGCATTGAGAGACGTAGAGAAAGATTTAGAATCATCTCGACCTTTCTTTATGGAGCGGGAGGATCAGGAAGAAGAAGCACGACGTTGTGAAGAACCCAAAGAACCAGCAGTACCCGCAAAGAAGAGCAGAAAAGGAAAGAAGGCACTTGGAAAATGTCCAACGTGTAAGGCCAATTATTTCTCACTTGATGGCTACTTTAAACACAATCAGACTCACATTTTTTCAGGTAAAGTTGAGTAAGAGGCAATGCTGAGTGTTACCTTTCTCTTTTACCCTTGATTAAGGCTGTATATATTTTTTTATTTACAGAGCTGCTCTGCAAAGTCCCTGACCTGCTGTCTGTTTTGCATGCGAGCCATGCCCTAATGATGGAGTCAGTGAAGCAGTGCATGGACAGTCAAGTTGCTGTTGGTCCAGGCCCTGCTATTGTTGCTGCGTGTGAAGAGATTCTGACCTGTGAGGACTCGGAAGACTGGAAAAGTTTTGTGCAAGCTGTCACTGTCTCTCTGCACCGCTGCATTGATGGGCACAACAAATTTTCTTTACCATCTGATTTAAAAGCACAGTTTTTGATTGGCTCTGCACATTATGCTAGAGATGAAGATGCAAGAAGTAGTTTAAAATCAAAGCTGTCCTCTGTTATTGGCGATCACGTGGCTGTTTTTGATTTACTTTTATCATGTCTCATTCGGTTGTATTCCACAAAACTTCTGTCGTTTACATTGCATCACATCAACAACCAGGTTCCGAAACTAAGTGATACTTATACTGTGACCAAACAAAAGACCGATACGCTTGACTTTAAACAGAATATGCATTACATAGGTGGCGCTAATTTAAAAAGTATGTTGGGGAAAGGCCTTGTGATTAAAAAAGAGAATCGCACAGAAGAGCATATTAGATACCTAGGTGTATTGAAAAGTCAATTCTTGATAGGGGAATTTTGTTGTGCTCCTGATAAAGAATTAATGGCATGGACCTTGAGCCAAGACAGAGGGGGTCTTAAAAAGATTAATGCCAAAGCCTTAGATTTATTTGTTGCATTAGGTATTATTGTAAAAGATCTGGAGCATTTTGATGGCTCTCTTTATCTTAATGAAGTGTTTGAAAAAGTAACTACTAGCCCTGACATTCTCTTAAAGTGGGATGACATTATAAGGGATTTACTTCCCAAAAAAGAATCATGGTCACTTTTGTATGGTCTATGCTATTACTTTAGCAACACTTGGAGATCAGGGATTGTTAGCCGAAGAAAGGATGAATTAAGCACTAGGAAAGATGCACCCAAACATGGGACATCAGGAGTGTCATTCCGAGCTAAACTGTCAACCTAACAATTTTATTTACTGCAGTGAGATTCACAATGTTTTAAATGTTATTTAAGGGTTTTATTTTATTTTTGAGTTCAGGAAATAAAAACCTTAATCAAGAAAACAAAATTAAAGTGTAGTCTTGTTTATTATCAATGTTAAAACTTCCCAACCACCAAGTTACAAATACAAAAGTAAAACAACTAAAATATTAAGGAATATCATGAGCAATCAAGCGATGATTTTGTCTTGAACCATTCCAAAAAATGATAAAATATTAAAACAAATCCAGCACCAAATTCAAAATATGGATAGAAGTTTGAGATCATGATGAGATCAAAGTCAGCATTACAAAACAGTCATAATAACCCTGTGAGCACTTAAAACTAAGAACACAATTTGGCACACGGAATGCCAAGTATAAAGCACATTATAAAATCTTACACAATTGTTTCTTTTTGTAAGAGTGCAGGAAATAGAATCCAGAATCAATAAAACAAAGTTCAAGTGTAGTCTTGTTACTATCAATGTTTAAAAGCTTCCCAACCACCAAGTTACAATTGCAAAAGTAAATGTTAAAAGCTTCCCGACCACCAAGTTACAAATACAAAAGTGAAACCACTGTAATATTATTGATCATGAGCAATCATGTGATGAAAATATTAACCAATATTTTGTCTTAAATCATTCTAAGAAAAGATATAAAAAAATAAAACAATTCCAGCACCAAATAAAATATATCTATAGAAGTTTGAGATCATGATGAGATCAAAGTCAGCATTACAAAACAGTCATAATAACCCTGTGAGCACTTAAAACTAAGAACACAATTTGGCACACGGGGTATAAAGCGCATTATAAATCATCTAAATCTGTTTTAAGTTTGTAAAGAAAAAATGCAACTGTTTACATCATAGCGCCACTACCAACTCAAAATTAAGTCCCTCAGCACATGAGGTAAATATGGTGAACATATTAAAATAGAAGTAGTATCACATCGTCAAATACATGACTAAAATTGAAGGTAAAATGTAGCAAGAATAACAATTAAAGCAGCATAACAATAAATAAAGATCTTCATATATACATAATTTCTGATAAAATATCTATTCATTTCATTTCATTATATTTACATACATCAAATAATAATTTAGCCCCTTACTCATCAACTCCAAAATCTGTGACTAGACACTTACGAGCTATCTTACTTCTCTTGCGTAGAGGTGTACAAGGAAGCTCCCTGCCATCAATATCCTCGGTATTACCTTTTCGCTTCTTTATTCCCAGTTGTCCATGGATATGCTTGTTGTTCATATTGTGCATGAAGCGTAACTTGTCAGGATTGTTACTCCCTCCACAGGCAGCCCTCTGCTGACTAAAATACTGCTCAAGGTTGTCTTGGCAGAAAACTCGAGCCATTATAAATTTTGTACCTACTTCAGGTGACAAGAGGAAATCCAGGGCTCCTTTAAACCCCCTGACAGTCATTTCAATTCCTCTCAAGGTCTGTGGACTGAGGAGCATGGCAGCTTTCTCTTCTGGTGTGTATCCTGAGAGAGCGGCCACTTCTTCTTTCCATTCTCTTAAGTACGTAAGGTAATCCTCAAGTTTCTTAAAACGCTCATCTTCCATAGATTTGTAAGGGGCTAAATTAGTATTTAATTCCCGCCGATGCTGATCCGAATGTGCACCATTAAGGCAGTCAAAAAATTCATTGGTCTTACTTAAAAATACGTGTCTCTTTGGTATTTGGCCATTGCAATTCTTCTAATGCATTGGCCACACTTTGACTTAAAACTCTAAAAGCTAACTTAGTATTCTGACAAGAAAATCTGTTCAAGTACACACACCCTGCGGTAAGTTTATGAAGTTTCTTCACAGTTTGTGTGGATTTCAACTTGAACAGATCCACAATTGTTGACCATAAAATATATTCTCCATTTTTGAAAAGTTTTCTCCCTTTCTTATATCCAGAATTGGAGAAGCAGTTTCTCACTGTTTTGACTAGATGGGGGACATCAGAAATGAAGAAAATAGACCTACTAGGGTCATAAGGATTCACAGTGTCAAAAGTAACACCATGTTGTGTTGTCTTGGGTGGATTCATATCTATGAACGCTCTATTCAGACCACTGCCATCACACACAATTGCAATAATCTTGATGCCTGAACACTCACATTTTTCAACGACTTCCCAGGAGTGCCGATATAAATCTTCTTTGGTTGTACCAGCACAAGAATAAGCTGCTACTACATTTTTAATACCAGAGCTAGTTCCTTTCACCATGTAGGTCATCATAGTTTTAGCAAGGGGAGGAGTGAGAGGAGTTACTGGGACACCTTCTGCTGCTGCAGCCACTGTGTGCTGCAGTTGAAGGAGCTCTTGAGTAACATCATCTAGATGACAATAGCCGACCACAGATCCATCAGACTTCCTCGACACAAGATTTTGATTAATGTAAATCTCATCTAACAGAATTGAATGATAATGTTGATAAGAGTGCCGGAATCCAGCCACTCGCTCAGCAACATCCTTAATAATATCACTATGGCAACCTTCTTGAATTTTATAAATATGGGAGTAGTCAAATAAAGTCCTCTCAGAGGGCAGCTCTAGAAAGCCACGCAGCTCACGATAGGCAGAGGCTGATGTTTCTCTGACGTGGAGTGCAAATCTGATCAGCAAAGGGTGCCATCGCATTCCAGATTTATGTTGAAGTTTTCTTGCTTTCAGTTGTTGCTCGAAGAAAATTTTCAGGAAGTCAACAGATTCTTCTCTATTTTCAATACCGCCAGGCACTCCCTTCTCTATTCTGTCAATTGTTTCAGGATCAGAAGCAATGTCCACCAAATATTGATCCATTTCTTCGTCAACCTCAACCCCTTCCTCATCAATAAGCTTTGACAACTTCTCCCTCAATCTTTGGTTTTGCCTCTTCACATTTTTTATTGTCTTGCAAAGCCTTTCCATTCTTGCCTTTCTCTCTGGGGTAGACAAATCTTTATTTGGCTTATTCTTCTTGGGTGTTTTGACCCTTCCAGAGGGAGAGCATGCAATGTTGGCTTGACTCTTGAACTTGCGAGCAAATTTTCTTTGAAGATCATAACACACTGAGCACTCTTTCTTGGTCTGGGGGATGATTCGCAAACAATTGTTGGCCCGGCATGTCTCCTGATACCTAATTTCTTGGTACGGGTTTGTGTCTCTGGCGCATCCATCAACCTTTCCCCACAGACTTTTATACTTCAGTTTGGGAACACCAGTGCAAACCTCAAAGAGACGCAAGGCACTCACTGTCTTCAGGAGGTTGTCTAAGACAACAGTCTCAGGCATGACTTGTAGGTCGACAGGGGTAAACTTCTGAAATACCTCATGGTCTGGAGCAATCTCATGGCCATGGATGTAGAGCTGATATGAAGATTCAGAAGTCAAAATGATAGTACGTTGAGTAGACTTACAGGGATGAGCTGACTGCTTCATAATTGACAAATTGCCTCCTGAATAGTCAGCAGACCATAATTTAGGTAGCAGTCCTGCCAGTTTTGATGCCAAGACTGACATCTCTGCACGCTGAAAGAAAAATATTACATTAGCCAAATAAAATCTTAATGTGACTCTGCTTACTTTGATTAATTAATTAATTGCAACTTTTTGGTCATGGTTCATTTTAACTACCTGGCAGGGTACAGATGCAGTGTCATCCAGACTCTGGGTTGACACACATGGCGTTGATGGTGGAATGCGCTCCAAAGATCCAACCTGCGAAAGCTGTACAAAAAAGGGAAAACAATGAGATAAAAAAAAAATTACAACAAAAAATTACAACAGTTGTTTCTGTTAAAATGTGACCAAGTTTACTGACCTCAGTTGGGGAGGACATTTCAAAGTAATTAGGTAAAGTGCTGGCATAATTCCTAATACTTTCTCCAACCACAGAATCCTGTATGGATACTTTAAGGATGGTGGTGTAAGCTTGACTCCCTCTTGTTGTTTTGGTCCCGCTCTGCATACACTTAAAAAGAAATGAAAATATGTTGGGCATATTAAATTTTGCAAAGCATAAACTTGGTGAACAGGAACATAACTATAGGAACATACCTGATAATATCCAGTTGGCTTGGAGTAGGTGTGATCGAAGCGACTAGAAGGACAGGCCGCAATTGCTTCATCATCTCCACTATCGTAATCTTCATCCGTCTGATACGAGTTGCAGCCATCTCCATCCTTAAAAGAGGTAAACAAAACAATCAACAATTAAATACCAATGAACAGGTCCAGGCCAAATTAGCCTTAAGGTAGCTTCACTGGCTCGTTTCCAAGGACACTCACCAGCAGAACAACATCCTGTCGGGCACTCGATGAGGTGTAGGTGTGATCTGCAAGAGAGGAAAGGTACGAGGTGACCTCAACCTCTGCCACATCAAAACTAAAACTTGCGTCACAATTTTGTTCCAGAGATGCCAGATCGTCTTTTGCCACATCAAAACAGAGTGTCTCTTGCTCGACCAACACCTTGGGATCACACTCTTGTTCAGGGAGAGATAGATTGTGCTCCTGAAATTAAGAACACAAAGCATATATAGGCAATGAAATGCTTAATATCATAAGCAAAACACTGCTCCTTTCGGAATTTTAACCCACCTGTATTTGATGTTCAATATCTGGTGGCTCTTTCTTCTTAGACTGTTTCCACCAACTTGTGCGGCGGAAACACTTCGACTTGCTCTTCTTCGGCATATTTCCCTGTAAAATGAGAAAATAAACATTAATGCGGTGCACTGTACATAAGACGAGGTTATGTTTACGAAAACAAGACTAAAGAAATTCTAACAAATTCGCGAACTATAGGAGTCCAAATATTCGTCAGATGCGAAAGAATATCATCCTTAATTAATGTGAAGGATTCCAGTATCAGGGGAAAAGTAAAATAGGGCGCAAAACTCGAAAATAACCTGGAAGTGTACAAGCGAGCCATGTGGCCATGTGAGTGGCCTATAGCACCCGGCCCCACACTTGATGGATCTGGCGACTCCCCAAACGTATTTCGGACATGAGCCACGGTTTGAATTAAAGATAAAACATTAAGGATTGACGAGTTTTAACTTTGAACCCCTGTACTTACCGCATTCTTGCAGTATTTTTCCAAATTGTACTCTTCACATCCGCTCGGCAAGATCTGCTGAAGCCTGCTGGGAGCGGGAGCGGACGGACGGCGACGAAGCGAACAAAAGACGATCGGCGCGCGGTGGAGGGGGTAAGGAGAGAGACGACAGTAGTGCGCTCTCTCTCTGGCCTCGGTTGTAGGGTGCGGTACGTCGAATTTCTTCGCATTTCAGGGTTCTTACGGACCATCTAGTCGATTTCTAGTTGTATACCGTCCATCTTTGAACCTTAGTGATTAGAAATGTCAAAACCGCAATTTCTTAGGTGAAAGGACAAGCCTCCTGCGCCATCAAGAAGACGACCGTGTCCCCCCAGCTACTTCTCCATTACACTTAGTCCTTCTCCATGCCGCTGGCCTCGCTGCCCATAGGCGTAGGCACGCGCCGTGGCGGGACTTATTCCCTTCGGCGCTGCACCGCGCTGCACTCTGCCGCCCGCGCAAGCCTTCGCCTTTGCAGAGGGGGAAAAGTGTGGAAATTGATTCCACGCTGGTTACTCAACTGAAACAACATTGAAACGGCGGTTCTTATAGTGTAGGCGTTTTCCTCTTCTTGTTGGACCTGAACCGGGTGGAATTTTTCAACGACTGGCTGGACAAGAGGATCATTCATGCAGCAATTGGAACTATTTCAAACTTTTCTCTAGGTCACAGACAAAGTAAAGCATCTGTGCCGGTTGTAGCGGACGCTATAGTGTTGCGGGATTGTCTCGTTGGAGCCCCGTGGGCCGTGGCGCCTTACTGGTGAGAGGAGTAGGCAAACCCGCAACACCGCCGCGGCCGATATACCTGGGTGCGCCAGCTACTCTAGAAACAACTTGTCCCTTGTCTCAGAGACAAATTTGTCTGTAATTAAGATGTGCACTGTGTACGCACAAGGACACATCTTACATCTAACCTACGTACAATAATTGACCCCCCCCTCACGAAGAATGTTTTTAAAGAACTTTTAAGATACGTAATTCTTTTTTTAACAGTGTTCTCTTTCAGCTGGTCCCATCCCATCCTTATTGGGCTGGCTGCTTGGCGCTCCGGCTAGGGGACCCGCCGACCCGCTCCGCACCAAGTGGGCTCGGCACCTGAGCGCGCCCCGCGAGAGTCCCGTTCAACTCACACACACGCACGCACATAACGCACGCACGCACACACGCACGCTCACACACACGCACGCACGCACGCACGCGTGGTCGAACGAATGAGGAATGGGTCGGGATTGTAAAGTGGATCGGGTGCAGCCGTGCACTTCCCTCCGGCCCGGGCGCGCGAAAGAGTGGAGGCGTCGCTCCCCGAAAAATGATGGTCGGCGACGCGGGAGGGGGCGGCACTGTCTTCTTCGCGCCGTCCTTGTCGCACCCGGGCGGCGGCGGCGCTGCCTGGGCGAGAGAGAGAGACAAGAGGTGATGATATAGGCGCGCGGCAAGTCGTCGCGGGCGAAACGTGTGGCTGCCGTGAGTGTCAAACGCAATCAGTGCTGTTCCGCTGGGTGGCCCGGCCCGGGCGGCAGCAGCGTGGGGGCCGAGCAGAGCCGAGCAGAGCGCCCGTGTAGTATGTTTTGACGTAGATGTCCCACCGGATAGAGGGAAAAAAAGGTAATGGTCTTTTTTATGGCAGCTATCTCGGCGTGTTAGCGGTAGGAGAAACATGCCACTCGGATGGCCATATGTAGTACGATGATTTTTCCGAGTTAACACTGGAAAAACAAAGGTGTGCTGAGTCGCACCTTTACAGTGGCTTTATAGAAATTTTTGAGTTTAAAGACGCCCCGCTGTGTTTTAAATTAGTGGCCTAAATTAATGAAAGCCTTCGTACAGGCACAACCTTCAAAAGTCGATTTCGGGATCATCCAGAAAGGACGCCCGTCATTCGTTACGAACCAGCCAATATCACCCTGTGCAAGCAGCTCTCGTAGCGCCTGATAGCTAGGCAATATCTGGCCTGCAGTGCATGCGTGTACTGCGGGGTGGCCTACCCCGAGGCTCGCAGGCGCTGAGCTCCCCCAATTCGCCGAATGACTTTTTGAGAAAGAGGGACTTACTTTTTGAGGGGTATCACTTTTCTGTGCTGTTCGTGATGGAGCCCTGAGCTCGGCCCGCCTGAGCCGTGTCGCGGGCGGATCATAGTTGGTGATCCCGTTCACATTTTCCATCCAATGCGCGCGCGACAGCCAAGTGTCGCGGCGGGGCTGGCGCGGGCTGGCGAGGTGCGGCGGAGCAGGCGGAGCTCGGCGGGAGACAGGAAAGGGAGTATCTTGAAACAGGCCACGTTTCCTCGTTGCGAGCCTGACTGGAATGGGAAATGCGTCGCAGCGCGCTGAGCCTCCAGGCGGGCAGAGGCGGGCAGAGGCGGGCAGAGGCGGGCCCCCCTGGAGGCTCGCCGCATTGCATCCCCCTCATCGCGCCTGGAGGCCCGGAGTCCTGGAGCGAGCGAGCGTGGACAAATCCCTGCTGTTGTGGTCTGAAGGAATTTCCTGGACTTGTCGACCGCGCGCGTCGCGTCGTTTCGTTTCCTGGTGCCGGAGACGCCGTTGCTGCGCTCGAGTGTGTTGCGATGGAAATAGTTTTGTCCGCCTCGCGTTCAACAGCCAGAAAGGGGGAAATGGCTTGAACAATCAGGAGTTTTCCTAATTTTGAGACTCACTCATCGTTCATACATCCTTGCAGCTGCACGCTAAATCCGCGTCTTTCGGGAAGATAATTTTTATTCACTCCTCTCATATAATTCGTGCCTGAAACCTAAACCAGTCATATTTCTCGTTTGGGTGACGAAAAAATGTCTTTAAAGAAACGAAAATATTCTGAGCAATTTAGGTTGACAAAGAACCGGAGGAACGAAAGCATTCGACGCATTTTATTACAAAAAAAATCGTTTGTCTTGACGTAGGGTTCGTCTTCGTAATACGAAGAGCACGTGCCTGTTAGTTCTAACTGGTACTGGTAGGAATAAAGAAAATCCGATTGTTATGTAGTTGTTTGAGATCCTTTGCATTTTAGGAAGAAAATTATTATAATATGAAAAGACTATTCTTTGTGAGGAAACTAAGAGTATAAATTGTACAAATTATGTTCAGCTTTAAAGAAATGGGAATTATATGTATGTCCCTTTCACAGAGTATCTTGTTCCACCTTGGAAAGTCTCTGAGAGAGTTCAGAAGGGCGTTGCTTGCGCCCTCTCGTGGCGCCTGGTCGCTATGTCGCTCGAGAGATAGCAGAGCGGCTGCGTCCGAATATCGCCGCACCCGCGGACGCGTCCCGCCTGAGCGAGAGCCTGATAGCGAGTGCCATTGCGCTGCCGCTCGTATCGAATTTGTATGTCACGGAGCTTTTACGAGTGATACGGGGCTCCGTATTTAATGTCTGCTTGATTGATTCTTACGGTGTTGTGTCGTTTATTTTTGATTTTTTTGTCTTTGCTCCTCCCCTTCCCCCTATCGTCTCTCCCTTCCCCTTCTACGACCAACGCGTCGCTCGCAGCCATATCGGTAGTGCGCTCAGGCTGCCGCAGCCGCCGCCTGGCGAAAAAAAAAGAAATAATGAAAAATATTAGTCACGTGACACACAGCATTCCTCATCGAGGGTCATTGTACCGAGTGGCAATCACGGATTGAATACGGACGGAGAGGGGAGAGGGGGAAGGGCTCCATCGCGCAGCAAGCCTCTCGCTGTATTCCAATATTTGCAGCAGCGACCCAATCGGGCTGCATGAGTATCGCATCGCCGAGGCAGAGCCTGGCTGGGCGGGGTAAGGCGGGGGG